TTTAGGTCTCCCAACACACAGTCTAGTAATCTAACCATTATACCATTCTGCTTCTCTTATGAGTTTATATTCTTACTATATAGTGCTCATTAGGGATACTGCATTTATAATAGTACATTATTTCTGTGTCTTTCTTACCTCTCATATCCAACATTTCACAAATTCTTTTAAACCTACTTTCTAAGTACTTCTCAAATCTATCATCCCTCTATTCCCATGCTTGTTTCAACCCCTCATTACCACCTACAAGGACCTTTTGGCAGCAGCCTCCTAAAAAGTCTTCCTACCTCCACTTTCTTCTCTGAATACGACACAGTTTGTAGATAGTTGGTACTCAATAAGTGTTCATTGAACTGAAGTATATTTAACTCATTACAGTGTTTGAGTCATCTTCTCTAGAGACCTTGTGATTTCTTTACCTAACTGAAAAAATAATCTAGAGTTAAACCTGATTCCTGATGATATTTTCAGGAAAATTTTTTGATGACTAGATAAGTAATCAGGCAGTCCACATTTTTCGCTGCTGCACTCATTAAAAACTCCCTAATTAACACCCATACCTCAGTTCCTTGTTTTATCTATTGATTAAATGGTTTCAGTTAATATCATACCTAGCAAGCCAATTAGACAGGATGCAATGTCTTGTCCATGTTTTTGCAATTCTTTGAGAATGTCTTTAAGACTGTGAGGATGTGATAATTATTTTATGATTTAATTACTTACATTTATATAGGCCTTAAAAATTGAAAAATACTTCACTTTGTCTTATTTGATTTCTATAATATCCCTGTAAAGTAAGTAGTATAAGTGTTATTATCCTTAGTTTACAATTGAGAAAATTGAAGACTAATGAATATGTGAATAGCCTAAGATCACATAGCTCTTGATTGGTGGACCCAGTATCTGTACCTGGCTTCTAATTCTAAGTCCAGTGTTTTGTTTCTGTCTTGCTGGAGTGTGAAGCTTTGAGACCTTGTGCTTTTTATTCTGGTCACCTATGTCTTATCATATCCTAAGCAGAGGTGAAGAAGCAAGAAAAGTAAAAGAAAAAATGCTGAGTTAGCCTATGAGGCTGCTCTAAAGTCACTGCCCTACCTCCAATTACTAGGGAAATTTACAGAAGCATTAGTTCATATTTCCTGGGACAGTATTTCTTAAAAATCCCTTTAAAATCCTTAAAAATCTAAGAAATCATCTCCCAAAAGATCATCTAAATTATAAGAAGGAAAAGAAATTATTGTTAGTTCATTGTTTGTCTAATATGTATTATTCTGCACTGAAGTTCTACTCTGATACTTATAGAATTGAATTTAGTAAACAGTTGTAAGCAGAGTCGCATAGTGGATTGGTAGCAAACTTCAGTCAGGAAGATCTGGGTTTGAGTCTAGCCTCTGACACATATTGGCTTTGAGTGAACCAGCTAAGTCTCTTAGGCTATAAGTTGCAAAACAATTGATGATATTAATTGGTAGAAGGCAATTTCCTCACTAGTTCTCTACACTAAACCACAACAGACCAAAATGAAGTCCAAAACATTTGTTAAGTACTTAGCAGATGTAAGGCACTATACTAGGGATACACAAACAGAAATGAAACCTTGTCCTCAAGGACCTTACAGTCTCCTCGGGGAAACAACATGTACCCAGAAAAGTGAATATAAAATAACTTCAGGAGAGAGAAAGCAGGAATAACTGGAGAAGGAGGTGCAGGGAATCAGGAAATCGGGTGCCAGTGGACCCGAACCTGAGAGGCTGAGGGGATAATTTATCTCAGGCATTGGCTCTGCATTTGAGGAATAGCTAGTAAGCCATTTTGATTAGATCATGCAGTACGTGAAGGGGAATAATATAATTCTCCAAAGGTAGGAGAGAGCCAGACTGTAGAGTACTTTAAATGCTATACAGAAGAGATGGCATTTCATCCTAAAGGCTATAGGAAGCTATGAAGAATTTTAAGCAGAAGAGTATCAAGATCAGCCTGCTATCTTGGAAATATAAGTTGGCATCTGAGTGGAGGATTTAGGAGACTATTACAGTGACAAAGACCTTACTGAGATGTTAGCCATGTAAGGAGAGAGAAAGGGTTAGATGCAATAGATATTGTAAAGGTAGAAGCAACAAGATTTGGCAGCCAGTTGGGAGTGTGGGGAGGGGAGGACAGAGGAGTCCAGGATAATTTTGAGATCATGAACCTGAGACTAGAATAACATTGGTATCTTCTACAGTTTAGAAGAGGGAGGGCAAGAATGACTTTGCCTTTTGACCTGCTATGTCTAAGATGTCTCTGCAACTTCCATTTTAAATTGTCCAGTAGTCGGTTGGTCCTAAAAGACTGAGGTTCAAGGAAGAGAGTAGGGCTAGATATAAATATTGGGTAGTCATTTGTGTAGATTTGATAGTTAAACTCATGGAAGCTGATGAGGTTGCCAAGAAAGAGACTATAGAGGAATAAGAGAAGACACAAGTGGACAGAACCATCCAGAAAACCTCGAGTTAAGGGACATGATGTGGAGGATGATCCAGCGAGGTAGACTGAGGAGCAGTCAGAGAGGTGGTAGGCAAACCAAGAGACAGTACTGTAATGAAAACCTAGAGAGGATGGAGTGTCTAGAAGGAGAGTTGGGTTGAGGAGGATTAGGAGTGATAAAAGACCATCAGATTTGGCAATTCAAAGATTGTTGGTTATAGGAGTAAAGCAAGGATGCCCACTTTCCCCACTATTATTTGATATAGTTCTAGAAATGTTAGCAACAGCAATAAGGCAAGAGAAGGATATTAAAGGCATAAAAATAACCAAAGAGAAGAGAAAAACCATCCCTATTTGGTGTTATGATAGTTTACTTGGGAAATTCTAGAGAATCCCCAGAAATACTGAGATAATAACTTTAGCAAAGTTGTAGGCTCCAAAATAAATCCTCAAAAATAAACTGCATTTCTGTATAATACCAAAACGAAGAGGCAGTAATAGAAAGGGAAATTCCATTTCAAATAAAAACAAAATGTGTGAAATGTCTAGGGATTAATCTACCAAAGCACAAAAAAGCCTGGAATAGATTCAATTATAATGTGCTTCTAGAGAAATAAAGAGTAACTTGAACAGTGGAAGAATATTCAATGTTCATGGCTGGACTGTGCCAATATAATAAAAATTATAGTACTACCAAAGTTAATTTATATTTTTAATGCTATACAGATCAAATTATCAAAGTAATATGTTATAAAAATTGATAAAATAACAATTCATTTGGAAACAACAGAAGATCCAAAATATCCAGGGAAATTATGAAAAGGGGTAGGGGCAAAGGAGGAATAGCACTTCCAGACCTCAGACTGTATTGTAAAGTAGCAATCATCAAAAGCTGCTGGTAATGTTAAAAAAATAGAGAGGTAGATTGTGAAACAGACTTAGGGGAGAATTAGAAACAATAAAACTCAATAAACCAAAAAACACATTACTTAGGAAAGAACTCTCTTTTTGATTAAAACTACTGGGAGAACTGGAAAGCAGTCGGGTAAAAAGTAGGCTTAGATCAGCGCTTACACCACATTCCATAATACCAGGCCTGCACAACCTTACAGGCCACCCGAAATTCTTTGGCAGGCCACAGGTTGTGCAGTTCTAAATGGATACATGACCTTAATTTTAAAGATCATACCATAAAAAAATTTTAAAAGAACCAAATTATATACCTTTCACAGCTTTAAGTATTAAATATATCCTGAACCAAACAAGGGACGAAGGCATTTACAGAACATAAAATAGAAACTTTGATTACATAAAACTGAAAAGCTTTTGCATAGACAGAATTAATGTACCTAGGCTAAAAAGGAAAGCAGTTAAATGGAAAATAATCATTGTACCAAATTTCTGTGACATGTAGATATTCAAGATATATAAACAATTAACACACGCACATATAAAGCCAAAAAATAACCTTTAATAGATAAGTGACCAAAGGATATGAACAAATATTTCTCAAAAGAAGAATTGCAAACTAAAAACAACAACATAAAGAAGTTCCAAAACATTAATAAGAGAAATGCAAATCAGAAGAACCCTGAAGTTTCCCTTATGCCTTGTAAATTGGCAAAGATGAAAAAGATGAGAATATTCAGTGTAGAAGGGGTTGTGGGAAGATAGGTACACTGGTGCATTGTTGGTAGAACCGTGAATCAGTACAACCATTTTGAAGAGCAATTTGGAATTATGCAAATAAAGTGACTAAAATATCCATACCCTTTGACCCATAGATTCCATTACCATGATTATACCCCAAAGCAATCATTGATAAGAAGGAAGTCACTATGTACACCAAAATATTTATAGCAGCACTTTTTTGTGACAGCAAAGAATAGGAAACAAATTATATGCCCACAATTTGGGGAATGTTGTAATACTGAACAAATTGTGATCCTTGACTATAATGTAATATTTCTGTGCCCTAATAAATGATGACTGTGATGAATGCAGAGAAATGTGGAAAGGTTTACATGAACTGATGGGCAGTGAGTAAGCAGAGCCAAGAAGACAATATAACAATATACAACAATGTAAAAGGAAAGAAAAATTGCACACAAAATATCAGTGGTTTACATTGCAAAATTATAAAGATTAAAAAAAATGTGAGGAGACATTTCTCCCATAACCCATTGCAGAGGTGGGAGAGCCACAAGAATTGAACATTGTACATATTTTTAGACTTTTTAGATGTGTTGATCATTGCTGCTGATTTTTTTTTATTATCCTTTAAAAAACACCATTTGTTATATGAGATGGGTCCTTGGAAGTTGGAGGGGGGTGATATACTGTCAGAAATTGTGGTGATGTTAAAAAAAAAAGAAATCAATAAAAACTTATTTAAAAAGAGATCATTGGTAACTTTGAAATGAGCAGGTACAGCTGAGTGATGAAGTCAAAAGCCAAACTGGTGACATTAGGATGAAGAGTAGTGTTTTGTTTGGAACATTTGGAACCTAATATTGTCTATTCCTGCTTTGTAGAAATCATCCTGATGTTCACAAATACAGTGTAGAGACAGTGCAGTGGTATCCTCATGATACTGGCATGTTCACCTCTAGCTCATTTGATAAAACTCTGAAAATATGGGATACAAACACATTACAGGTAAGTAGATTTAAATCACTCAAACGATGAAGGATAATTCAATCCTTGGTCTATTTGCTGATATTGCTAGTAAGGTTGACAGTTGTGACAACATTGAAAACTAATACAGTCTATTAGACATAACAAAGACAGTGAAAATTCACATGATCTTTTGGGTAAATTACTTTATTCATCTTTCTTCCTAGTTTTTATTTTCATTTATTTATTCATTTATTTGTGGGGGGGGGGTTGGCCAGTTTTTAAAAGAAAAATGTTAGTCCTAATATTTATGTATAGACAAATGTATTCATTTAACTCTGTCTCTATTATGACTAAAAATCTCACCTTCTTTAAAAACTGGCAAGAAAGGCAATGTGGCATTATAGAGAATTGGCTGTAAAGCAAGACTTTGGCCCAGGACCCACTTCTCACACATACTAACTGCATGACCATGGGGCAAGTCATTTGACTTTTCAGTGTTCTAGGCAACTCTAAATTATAGAGAAGCAACTGAATTATAGAGAAGCAACTCTAAATTATGCCATAATTTGCAAAGAAGGTGCTGATCTGAAGTGGTAGATATTCTTCACCCAGAAGTTTCCTATAACCAGTAAAATTGATGCACACACATGTATGTGCATGTGTGTATGCATATGCATGCATGTGTTTGGCAAGCCTTTAGTTCCTTTTGTCTGTAGGATGTTCTGTCATCACAGCAAACTTAACATGTCCAAAATTCATGACTTCTGACTTACCAAATTTCCTATTTCTGTGTATGGTCCTTTTCTTAATTACCTTAAGTTGGAATTCTTTCTGCATATTTCTTTAATTCCTCCTTGTCTTTTATTCCTTAAAGCTTAGTCATTCACTAAATCTATAAATTCTTCCCTCAAAAATAAGTTTCATTCATATCTTCTTCATTATTCTTGCCATCATCCTAAATGAGGCCCTCATTTCCTCAAACCAAATAGTTTCCTAACTGCTTTCTGTGTTTCTATTATCTCCCCCATGTCTGTTCCTACTACCACCAGATTAGACTTCCTAAAATCCTGACTTTATCATGTTACTTTCTTGTTGAAAAATTGCTTTTTTCATCATTACTGAGAAAAGGAATTTTTCAGTCTGGCATTTAATGTTTATGTTGATACTGATAATAGCTCACATTTCTGTAACATGTTGTAGTTTACTGAAGTTCTACTCTAGTACCTCATTGTGGCATGGAGGTGGCTCCCTCCCTAAAGCTAGCAGCAGAGCGTAACTTGGAAGGCTTTGAATAGAGAATCAGGGATGGATTATATGCTTATTATCCAAGGATGAGCCTGGCTAAATACAGTGGGGCTACATCATCAGGTTAGCCACAGGGTAATGAATTTTTTGACCATCAGATTCTTTTATTTTTTGCGGACAGTGGGGTGAAGTGACTTGCCCAGGGTCACATAGCTAGTGTCAAGTGTCTGAGGCCAAATTTGAACTCAGGTCTTCCTGAATCCACTGCCAGTGTGCTATCCACTGTGCCATCTAGCTGTCCCAAGACCATCAGATTCTGCATCAGTGGAGATGCAACAAAATTATAGATTCTTGAAATAGTTTACATAGGACTTTGTTACATATTATCTTATTTGATCCATACCTGTGAAGGATCACTTTGATCCTGTGAAGTAATTAGTGTAAATATTATTATTCCTATTTTATTGCTGATGCAGCTGTGAAGTTCTTAGAGATAAAGTGACCTACCCAACCTCATATAACTAGTTAAATGGCAACTCTATAACTTCCTCTCTCCTCCAATCCAACTTTATTTCCTGATATTCCAAAGTATGAAATATCTGCTACTAGGTTGATCTCCTACTACCTTCTAAATATTGCAGGACCATTATGGGCTGTAAGTCTCTACATGGCTGCCTCAGGCCTTAGAATGCCCTTCCATTGTCTAACTTCTACCATTAATTGATGGTCCTTTTTCCTTCCTGAAATTTTCTAATCCACAGTCATCTCTCTTTCTATGATTTTCTTTTGTCTTTACCATCTACTTACATATTATTTGCCTTGTTAGATAATTACTACAATCTGTCTTTCTAACTAAATGACTGTTCTATGCTCTGCATCTCTCATAGCACCTAGCACAGTTTTAGGCACAAAGCAGGTTAATAATTTCTCATTGGAAGAATAAATAATGTTGATCAATATTAAAATATGAATCTAAATTACTAGTCAATGTTACAGTAACCTGACCTTTGTTAATTGAAATTTTGAACTTTTGGAAAATGTGTGGTAACCCAGTGAGTACATGAGTAACTTTATAGCTCAAAATTAAATAATACTTGATTATTGTCATTAATTTGACCTGGGCCATATTTGAATAGACTTAAATAACAAGAAAAATAGAATTTAAGAATGTGCCAAGAACTAAAATTAAGAATCCATAAATGGTTTTATTTTTTCAATTTGCTACTGCTTGCTATTTAAAAAGCTGTTTTTTTTTAATGGATTATAAATGTAATCTTTTGTGAGTCAGTCTAGAGGGCTAGGCAACAACTAAATTTTTGGCAAATCTGACCATTTTCTCAAAATTTTTTTAGTAGGACTGAGGAAAATGCTCAAGAATTTCTATAAAAACAAAAATTCTATAAAATCATACTAAAATCTTATAGGAAAATTTACTATAGCATAAGGAAACATACTCTTCAAATAATTTTTGAAGCAATATTTTCTCATAATTTTTATCTTGAAATATTCATGTCTAATATAAGTTAGCTAATAGCTTATGGCATTACCCTTGGATTGTGCATCATTATTTTGCTTTGATTTTCTAGTGTTATGTTTTTGATAAGGAATAAACTGAGGTTTCTAGTGAAAGAAGCAGTGACTGCTACCCTAAGGTTGCAAAAGAGAACTTGTTTTTCAATCAAGAAATGAAAATATGTTAAAAAAAAAATAAAAGTTTAAAATATAATAAATTAATATACAATAGAACATTAAAAAAGAAATGAAAATCTGTCCACTACTTTTATTTTCTTCTTTCCTAGTACTTTGAATACTTCTCTGCATGTACTTAATACAGAGGAACTCAGTTTAAAAAAAGCATTGTTTACATAATAAGAAAAAACCTTTATCTCTAATTTTGACAACCATAAACACAATTTACTTTGCTAAATTAAATTTCAATAAGGAATAATAAAGTATTTGATAGATAATTTTGAAAATTTGCTTTTTTCTACTTTTAAGTTATTTGTATTTGTTTAAAATGTGTCATTGAAAATTAATGCACAGCATATATAGAGTGCTTTAAGAACAGAAATTAATGTCTCATTTGTTTAGGCTTTCTCTGTAGCAATTTTGGTCTGTTAGCATATAAATAAGAGTCGTAGGATCATATTTTTAGAGCTGGAAGAGATTTTAAAAGTTGTTCAGTCCAACCTTTTTATTTTACAGATGAGGAAACTGAAGCCCAGAGAGGTTGTGACTTGCCAATCTAGTAACAATCTGATGTAGAAATTAAACCTAGGTCTTCCTAATTTGAAGTCCACTGTATCTATCCACTGTACCAAAGTTAAAGGAACTCTTTCATTTTGTGCCAGTATAACTTCCCTCCTTTTCCCCCTCACTTCCTTTTTCCCTTCCCAAGAAATAACATACCAGCCCAGCCAGCTCAACATCCTGTCTGAAAGTGCCACTTCTAAGTTACTTCATAATTTTTCTCTATGACATGAACCTTACAAGGATAGGCTTGTGCCTCATCATCCCTAATTTCCAATAATAGTCAATTATAGTTTTAATATATGTAAATATATCTAAGTCCTTCACAATTGTATACTTGAAGCCTCTAACTTACCCAGAAAATAAGGTCTTCCCCCAAAGCTGTTTTTATACTAACATTTTAAGGAGAGTGTAACTTCATATGACCTTAAGATCCATTTTGTAGGTTTTCTTCAAATTTTGCAATATAATATTATTCAACATTAGGGCCAGAGCTGTGTGGACAGTACTCTGTGGTACTTTGTTTAAAAAAAAAAAGGTATTTTGCTCATTTGGCATTTATTTATTTATTTGTTTGTTTATTTAGTTGGTTAGGCAGTGGGTTAAGTGACTTGCCCAGGGTCACACGGCTAGTAAGTGTAATGTATCTGAGGCCGGATTTGAACTCAGGTCCTCCTGAATCCAGGGCCAGTGCTTTATCCACTGCACCAACTAGCTGCCCTTTATTCTGCATTTAAACACCAATCCAAAAAGTGAGCATTTCTGTATATGAAGTCAAGCCTAAAAAGAGGATTGTATATGAAACCATGAACCTATTCCATACAGCTTACTATTTTTAAAGTATATAATAAATTTACCTTCTTTCAAAATTGTTGTACTTGTTTGTGCTTCCTTCTATTCTCTTCTATGCATTTTTTAAAAAAAGCTTTAATGGCCCTATTTTTTCTTCTTGAGGGGTATATCATTGTTGTTAGCCTTCATAACCCTCCTACTTCCGTTAAAAAAAGAAAAAAAAACCCTTGTAACAAATAAGCATAGTCATGCAAAACAAGTCCACCCAGTGGCCATATAAAAAAAAACTGTCTCTGCATTTTGAGTCCATCGCCTCTCTGTCAGGAGGTAGATAACGTATTTGTCATAGGCCCTCTTGTTCCATTGTTTATCATTGCTATAATGATTTCTTAAGCTTTTAGTTCTCTTTCTTTACAGTATTCTTATGATTATATATTCTGTTTCTCTTCACTTTACTCTGCATCAGTTCAAGTATCCTTCTTTTGCTTACACCCTTTTCTCCACTTCTTCATACACACCCCATCTTTACATCTTTGATATATTTCTGTACCAATCATTGTGTGTGTGAATGTGCACTGTGTTCATCCTTCTTTTGGTTCATATGAGAGTAAAATTCTTCTGATAACTGCTCTTGCCACCCCTTGCTCCAAATTTGTATAGTCTTCTCACTCCTGTTATCACAAACAATAGGTTCCATACTTTTCTCCTCTCTACAATAATTAATTCCTTTTACTTTCCTTTTTTTTCCCTTCTTAAAACTGTTAGAACAGAACCAGCACACCCCAACTTCCTCTGTCTTGAGTTCCTCAGTGTCTTTTGAAGACATTTAGGTGGAGAAACACACTGGTTTCTTCTTCCCCTTTTAGAATGTTGGCACCTCATCTTGGTATAGCCCCTTCCAATTACTCAAGCAAATTTACCTTTTTATATATCTTATGACACTTTTGTTTGTATTTCACAGTTTCTACTCGGGTCTTTTATTTTTTGTTGAGAATGCTTCAAAGTCCTCTTCTGTTAAAAGTCCATTTCCCCCCATAGTATTATACTCAGCTTTGCAGGGTAAGTTATTCTTGACAAACCTGTATCTTGGAATATATAATATTTTGCTGCTGGATCTTATGTGATCCTATCTGTAGTTCAATGGTATTTGAACTCCTTCCTCACCCTTTGTAGTATTTTTTCTTTTATGTGGAAACTGAGGGTTTTGACTATGTCATTCCTGGGACTTTTCTTTTGGGGATTTCTTTCCAGAGGTGATTAGTTGGAGGTTTTTTTGTTTCACTTTGCCTTCTGGTTCTGAAAAATTTATACAGTTTTCATTTATAATTTCTTAAAATCCAGTGCCTGTGCTTTTTTTTTTTAATTATAATTCCAAGAATGTCCAATGATTCTTAAATTCTCTCTCCTGGAGATATTTTCTCTGCCAGTTATTTTTGATAGAAGTTATCTTACATGTGCTTCTAATGTTCAATCTTTTGATTTTGTTCTAACATTTCTTGCTGTCTCATGGAATGATTGATTTCTTCTTGGTCTACTCTAATTTTCAAGAGGTCTATTAGCCTAGGTAAGATTTACCATTTTCTTCTCTAAGATACTTATTATTTATTCATCTTCTAATTCTTTCCTCCAGAGTTTTCTTTTTTTTTTCTTTCTGTTGCTTCCATTTAGATATTCATATAGTCCTTGGGGAAAATCTATTTAACTCTTTTAAGTTGGATTTTTAGGTGTATTGGATCTATTCTTTAAAGTACTTTATATTTTCTTCAGTTTGTTCACACCTACTCTACTAATTCTTATTTTGAGATTTGTTCCAGGATGATTCTCCATCTCCTATTGCAATTTTAGGCAGGATAGTCAGCTGTGCTTAATCTAAACCTTGTTTCCTCTGCTGATCTCCTTTGGGATGTGTCTATACCAAGAGCACTATTAGGTTTTAGGACCCCTTGAAACTTTGAGATTCAGAGTAATGAATCTTTAGCACCTTTTATGTCATTTCATGATCTAGTACTACAAACATTGGAGTCTTACGGCCTCAGATGTCCTACTCTGAGCACTGCTAAGCCTGAATTGGTGACTGTTGCACCCAGTGAATCCACTGTGAGTTTCTCACCATTCTGAGGTTTGCTTGTGGAAACCCTCCACTCTTGGTGAATCTGGATACAGAGCTGTTCAGGCTACAAGAGTCTCTGATTCATCTCTGGTGAGCTCATGGGCTTCAGTTTTATATGCCTATGATGGCGCTGGCATTTCTGACAAAACCTCATAGCCTTTAGGCTTCTGGCTGACGTTTTATAAAGTCTGACATAGATGAAGTTACTTAGTCTAACTTCTCACTGAATTTCTTATTCATTATTCAGTCTAGTGCCAATATTTTAAGGTTTTGCTGGGATAAGTGTGTGGGAACTGAGCTGTCTGCTTCCACTCTGACAGCCATCTTAGCTGAAAGTACCCAAGACGATTTCATAAAGATATATTACTTGTACTGAAATTCTTGACATCAAACACATTGAAAAAGAGAAGCCAAAAAGTATTGGAAATCTGTTTGAATTTGTACTAAAGATAACATAAAAATATAAGTATATTATCTATTCATTTGTAAATGATCAGATAGTTTCTAAAATAAGTAGGGAAGAAATATGTTTTTATTATTATTTTAATCAGAACTCAAACTTCATAAATATTCTTTTGATTATCAGCCTGCAGATGTATTTCATTTTGAGGGAACAGTCTATAGTCATCATATGTCTCCAGTTGCCACCAAACACTGTTTGATAGCAGGTGTGTATGTAACTATAATTGATATGTTTTTCCTAAATCAGAAATTTATTTTTTTACATCCAGCATGTTTAGGTAAGTTTAGCTTAAGTAAGAATGATAGGGTTTTTTGTTTGCTGGGTTTTAAAAATTTGTACAGCATTTACCCAACTTTTAACAGAGATGTAGAATGAGACATAATAGTTCTAGACGTGCCCATTGTGTTAAATAGGTTTGTTTAACTATGTCAATTTGTTAAAATATTTTTTTTCACTAGTGGCGGAAAGGGGAGGAAGAGAAAATAAATTGTTAATTGACAAAATGAAATGAATGTAGCATGTAATTTAAATATTTTGTTTTAAAAACAATGAATTTTACTATCACCCCAGTTCTTTCAGAGGTTTAATTACTGTGTCATTTGTGTCCTTTGCAAATTCTGTTCCGAACTGGGTTAGATATAACACTTCAGGAAACAGAAAATCCTAATAATTTGGCCTAATCAACTAAGATTATGAATTGCAAAGCTGATGCTGATCTACCCTGGTAGGGGAGACTTGACTCACTGAGAGTTCCCTGTACCAATTAAATCAGACATGTGACCTCCTCATTTCCTACCAAAATCAACTATGTGAAAAACCCATTACATTCAGATAGTTTAAGTAATTTGAGAATTCTTTCTTCCTGTAGCAAAATGTTTTTATTTTCTTTAGAGAACATATCTTGTTTTAAATGAATTAGCTTGAAAAGGAAGCCTTTTCTCTTTTAATCTGAGTTAATATCTTACACATATATAAAGGTATATCATTTATATAGTTAAACCACTCTACTAAGAATTAGTGGAACTAAACCACATTTTCTTTATTCCCATTTGAAAAGTGTGAATTGTCAACTTATGGCTATAACTTCCTTGCTTTTTTTTCCCTTCTTTATTTCATGAAAAAGCTGTTGTGTTAAAGGATTTTTATTTTTATTGTTGCAGTTGGTACTAAAGGCCCCAAAGTACAACTTTGTGACTTAAAGTCTGGATCCTGTTCCCACATTCTACAGGGTACGTTTCATTTTGAAACATAAATGTTAGACAATAACTACTTTGAGTAAAACGTTCAGTGTAAAGACACATTACTGACAATGTATTCTTTGTCAGTGACATGACTGATGTATTTTGTGCTAGCTGTTAAAACTAAACGGGGGAGAAAAGCTCCTTCTGTGCATTGTTCTGGTGTTCCTGAATTTGAGAAGAGGCATGAAAATGTCCAAGGGCCAGAGTCCATGGAAAATACAAGATCTACCTCTCACAGCCTAGTTTCATTTGACACTTTATGCTTGATTGAAATATCTAAATACAAAATGAGAATGGTAAGTGAATCTGTCAGAATTACACAAAATGTACTGTTATCCTAACATTCTGCCTACATTGTCAGCTTTTGTTGTAATATCCAGAAGCATCTTTCTTCCCTTCTGAAAGTACTTCTGAGATGTTAAAAGGCATGTTTAAATAATGAGATTATGAAAACTTTTATTAGACTGATAAAATATAACAATGAAAACTGAACATACCATTTTTTTTTCATTTTAGCTGTTTAGAATTGTATTAACGAATTCTGAACCACTGAAATAAGGAATTTAAGGAAGGAAATATTCAATTTTATTCAAATATGTAAAATACAAGTCTGACATCCTTCCTTCCTACCCAAAGATTCAATGCTTTATTTAACATTTCTTTGAATTAATTAAAATAAAACATCATCAAGAAAATTTGTTGGAAGATCATCATTTTTTTTCAGATTTCATGCATTTGTTAATACAAGACAGACAAATGAAGTGCCTAAGTAGTTCACTCAGGGGGAAAAGTGATTTAATTAACAGTGCCAGAATCAATCAGTATTGACATCAGATTTTAAAATATTCTGCTATCATTTTTAGAAATATATAGTTCCTAGGCTTTCTAGGAAAAAAAATTTGCAAAGATGTTTACCCTTTTTTGCCTGACTGTACATATACAACCTTTATCAAATTGACTGACTTCTCAGTGATTGAGGGGGAGATAGAATGTGGAACTCAAAATTGTTTAACAACAACAATAAACCATGAAGTTTAAAAATTGTTTTTACATGTAATTGGAAAAAATAAATTTTTTTTAAATTTTAAAAGCATTTTAATGTTTTTTTTTAAAAGGATGCTTACCCTTGAGTTAGACAATATATTTTTAAAATTAAGCATATGAAAAAAATCATGTTTTCTCCCCTAGTTCTGCCACTTACCACCTCTGTCATTTAACTTCTCTGGGCCCTACTTTCTTTACCTGTAAAATGAAGAGGTCAGACTAGTTGATCTCTAAGGTTCCTTCCAGCCTTAAATCTATGATCCTAACTTTGTAAACATATGAAAAAAAGATCTTTACTCATTTTGGGGATATTTGTTTTCTATGGCAAATTAAGTGATCTTAAAAAGGATTAATATGCATTAATAATTAGATCAAATCTGACAACTTTATCCTTAAGAAAAAAAACTTGTTTTGTTATTCTTCCTAAACAAAAACCAATTATTGAATAATAAATGTCAGGTATTCCAATATGTGCCTACTTGGGACTTTTATATAAATCTTAATTATTAATGTAATAAAAATACCAGATGTTGAAGTTCTTCACATTTGATTTTTACTCTTCTCTTAGACTCATGCAGAATTATTCTTTTATTCCTCAGTTTTTCAAAGACCTCACAAAGTTTTTATGTTCTTATATTTGTAGGCCATAGACAGGAAATATTAGCAGTTTCCTGGTCTCCACGTTACGAATATATCTTGGCAACAGCAAGGTAAAATGTATTTTAATTTTTGTTTGAAAGTTAGAACCGTAATTGCTAATTGGCATTTTGGAAGAATGGTATTCATGTTGAAAAAGTGTTTTGACTTCTTTTGATATAATTCTGTTTTTGAAAAATGGACTAGAGAGGTATGTTGATTAGTGACAAGCATGTCACACTGAGATAAGCTCTGGCCCACAGTATTGCTAACCCAGCTAATCATCTTATAACTTTCCCTTTTTTACATAGTGAGATGAGCAAAAAAGTATAGGTATATGAATGTTAATTTGTTAAGTCTACGGGCAAAATAGTTCACATACACCCAATAATGTCATCTTTACAAGAGTACATAATTTTATTTATTTAGTGCAGTAATGTTTGTCCCCTAGAAAACAAATGTCATTCACTGAATCACTTTACACTTGCTAGAATTATCTGTTGTGACTTGAATTTTGTAAGAAAACAGAAATGAGAGACTTTTCTCCTAGTGGTTGTGTGTGTATGTGTTTAGATAAGTATGGGGTATTATAACATGGCTCTTTCCAGAATGGATTTTTAGAAATTTCCTGATTCTGCCTCAAATCTTCTAAATAACCTCATAAATTTAAATTTTGTTAAAATACAGTAAAGCCCCAATTCAGCACCCAAGTCCTCCAAATTCTTTATTATCTAAAGGACTACAAGGTTTTCTGTTGTCATGTCAAGCTACCACTTCAGGAAAATTACACAAAGTCTCCAAAAATAAAACTTGAACAAATAATAATCAAAGGGAACTCGAGAAGTCTAGTGGATTTCTGTGTTGTGTTTTGTTTTGTTTTCTCAGTCAATAGGTGGGGCACAGAGAAGAGTAGATAGTCCTTGGATCATCTTCCCTGTATATAAACATGCAAAAGAAACAGAAGTAGTGGGCACCCAGAATTCCCCTGCTTTCCTGCCACTCATCCCCCAGGGACCACTTTTGTCATCTGTGGCAGTTTTTGGCAGCTGGATGGTGCAGTGGATAGAGGGCCAGGCCTGGAGTCAGGAGTTCAAATCTTCCTGAATTCAAATCTGGCTTCAGACACTTACTCACTGTGTGACCCTGGGCAAGTCACTTCACTCTGTCTGCCTCAGTTTCCTCATCTGTAAAATGAGCTAGAGAAGGAAATGTCAAACCTCTTATCTTTGCCAAGAAAACCCCAAATGGGATCACAAAGAGTTAGACACGACTGAAACGACTGAACAACAACTGTTCCATTGGAGCTATAAGAGATTATCCTTGGTCCCAGACTCTTGAGTAACTACCTTATTACAGGTAAATTGTATCTCTAGCTCAGCATTAAGAGTAGTTATAGTTTTGAATTTGATTTTTGGTTTAGAGCACCAAACTTAGGTTCAGAAAGAGCTGGATTCACATCCTACCTCATATTGCTAACTAGCTAAGTGACCTTGTACAAGTCACTTACCCTCAGCAAGCCTCATTCTCATCATATGTAAAATGGGGGTAATATCACCTATTTTCCCTGCCTTGTGGAGTTGTTGTAAGAATCAAGTGAGTTAATATCTTTTAAGCATTCTGCAACCCTTAAAGTTCTATAGACTTTAAATATCAACTATTATTATCGTTTATAAAAGAGCACTTAGTGTTCCCATTTTTCCTTTGTACTTTGCTTATAATAATCCTAGGGAACAGACAGTAGAAGCTCTACTATCCCCATTTTACAAATGAAAAAAACTGAATCTCAGAGAAGTTAAAGGATTTTCCTATAGTCATACAGTTTTTCAGTCTACATAATTGTAATAACCAAGTTTCAAACCCAGGCCCCTCATTCCAGATCTAGTACTCTGTGTATACAATATGCTGTCACCGCACTACCACATCATTGTTTAAATTATTTTTTTAACCTTCTGAAATTAAGAAAAAAAACCAAAAGCGATCAAATATGCTATCAGTGAAAATGATTGATCAAGTTTGGAGATTTTAAAGAACTAATTTTACAGTTTAGAAATTATCTAAAAATTGCCATTTTATGTCTTGCCGGGCTATCTTTATAAGCATCTTCTCAAATCATTTCATTTTGTGAATTTATATGAGATCGAATTGCACACAATTTGCAAACCGGCCTACTTTGTCAAGCCCTGAAATTGTACTGAATTGTCTTAAATAATTGTTTCAATTAGATTGCTAAGTAATAACAGTAAGTACTGTTGCCTCAGTTTCCTCATCCATAAAATGAGCTAGAGAAGGAAATGATAATATTGATATTGATAAAGGAAGATTTTATTTTTATTTTTCACTTAATAAATTATATGAAAAATTAAGTACCAGACTTCTCTATGTTCTCTGTAGTGTAACAAAAGTGTTCTACTTCCCAGATTCTTCCCTGGTTTCTAGTTAGGTACTTTAAAGAGCTACATTCAGTTTTTTGGTCACATTTAAATTGCTGCCTTGCCCAAATTTGCAAGCATAGTCTAGAAATGGCTATTTACACAGTATCTCACCCCTAAGAATATATCTATATCTGTGTAGATTTATTTAGGGGGTTGGGAGCCACATACCAGTAGGACCACCAGGAACAACGGGTTGGAAGGGAAAAGGGGAAAGAAGGTAAGTTCCATACCATTTTTCACTCCAGACACTCATCCTGAAGAGGTCTTCCACTTTTCCCAAACCTGAGCCAGAGAGTGTTGGGAATATCAAAGCCAATCTGTTCGTGTCCCTTTCCCCTGGTTGTCTATGGTGAAAAGAGAAAGAGAAAAGAGAAGAAAGGAGTCTTGCTTTTAATGGAAAATTCTCAAGTTTCTATGAGAGCCCCTAGAATTGTTTTTATTGTTTAGTTGCCAAAGGCAGCTGAATCTTAAAAGAAAAAATTTCTACTCAGGGGGAAAAAATCAATACCATGCTACTGGAAGTCAGAATTCCAGGAGCTTCTTTAGCCCAAATAGTGCCTTGATTTTTGTAGTTATCATTTGATAGGTCCCTAGATCACAGCTCTTATTCACCAGCCCTCTTGATATGTATACTGATAATAGGTTTCTTTGAAAATTTTGATATTTACTTCATGTTATTGTCACTAATTTTGGTAAAATAGAATAATTTAATGGTATATTATTTACCCTTGTGGTTAAACACTACTAACTTATACCTGGAGAAGAAGTCTTATTTTGCAAATAGTATTCTTCCAAAAATATTGATTATACTACATTTTTTCTAAATTTGCCTCAGATATGAAAAATCAAAATACTAAGATTTGAAATTAAATTGATGGGGATGCCCACCTACTACAGTCAATCAGTGTGCATCTTTAATCAACAGTCTTATGCTGAATGTAAGGAGTTAGGTAAATATAACGCCCCCTTTCCCCTGGAAACTATTGTCTGTCAGAGCTTTAGTATAGATCTAGGTAGCAGTGAGCCTGAGAGGTTCACTCTGATCCAACCCTGGATCTCTATCATTCCAGAAGATTTTCTAGAGACATTCACTTTTCTGGATGCCACAGGCATTTATTTATATCCCTTCCAGGGAGGACAGGATCAAGATACAGGCATGCCCAAACCAACGTTTGAGCAGAATGGGATCCCAAAACCTATCTCAGTTCAGAAACAAAACTGAATTGGAAGTGGAGAAAGTATTTGTTATTCATCCCACTATTACAGGATTCATGGTGAATTGTACAAAGAACCCTGGTTATAGGCAAATAAATATTATCATTCAGGCTTCTTTATATTTCTGATACACAAACAGGCTTGTAAGTTTTCCTGCACTTATTAAACTTATCAAAACACAAGACACAAACTCAGTGGGGGAAGGATCCAGGAAGTCCTAATGTGTTCTGATTCCATACAATACTAGCATCTCCAAATAATCTGTTGGAATCATCAATGAATGCACAGCCTGATGGTTGTTAACAAAGTCTTATCTTACTTCTTTAGGCATATTCAATGACCTGAAAAAGAATAAAAACAATTGTTTAATTTCTAGATCATCGAATTTGTCACCTGTAAGCCCTTGAGATGAGTGATTTTGGTATACCAAGTCGAGTGAAATTATGTTAGCTTTTGCTAATCTTATTCTTGTCTTTTTTAAAGAAAAAAAAATGCCACACATATGATAGCTTGGATGCTTAAGTAAAATAAAATTTTGTCTGCTTCATAGGCTAGACAGTATTTGAATAACAAGTAGTGGGAGAAAGGTAGTTAGAAAATTGCTAAGGAGCAAACTACAAGCCTGTCTAGTCCTTGGGGGGAGTGAGATGCTCACGTAATTAAAAATAACTGTGTAAAAGCAGCAGATGTTGAGTTGTGTCCTTGTAAACTAAAAAGGAAAGGTTATTTTCTTAGTTTTTTTCCCCACTATTTTTAATGCTAATGTTGCATATTGAACATCTGCTGAACAGGCAAAGGTACAACAACCCAAATGTACAGACACATTTGTGCAAATGTAATGATCCTTGCTGTGATGACTGACGAGCAGGGGGAGGGGCAGAGTCTATGGCCTAGGTCTAAATCATTGTAATACTTCTTTCCTCTCAGTGCTGACAGTAAAGTAAAATTGTGGGATATTAGGAGAGCATCAGGATGCCTGATTACCCTTGATCAGCACAATGGGGAAAAGTCAAAAGCATCTTCTGAAGCAGGTAATGAAGATACTGCATTTATATACAAATAAGACAGTATGGTATTTTTTTTTATCTTGAAGCTTTCTTGAAATGGCAAAAATATTGGTATGTTAAATTTCACATTTTATAGATGGAGGGGAAAAGGGCATCCATCAGAAATCCCAGATCAGGTTGTGCAAAGCTAAATTAAATCACTTGGTGAATAAGCAATATAACAACTTCTAACTGCCTCTGAAGTTTGAATTGTAGAAACATCTCTGAACCGATTTGTCCTTTTTTTTCCCCCCTTTGGCCACTATTATAATAGTCTAGGGTAAGTGTACTTAAGAAATGCAAATGCAGAGAATGCCACTTAGGAAGCCCACTGTAAAGTAAAGAAATAGCAGGATTTTATATTCACTGTGTCAGCACAAAAAGTGCAGGATATACTGCATGTGAATCAGCAGGAATCCAGGTGACAAAGTACATCAGTTGCAATTTTATAGTTGTATTTTGACTGTAGTTTGAAATTTGATTCAGAATTGACTGGAAATTAATTATTTGATTAAATGGTAAAATCACATACTACCTTTAGAAACAAGTTTTCAAAGAGAAAAGTAGAATCACATTGTTAAGGGAACAGTACTATCTCAGGACAAAGACATATGTTTGCAGTCATGTTAATTTTAAGACTAGAACAGCTGTCCTTTCTTTGATACAACATTTATTCTTTCCATCACATTTTATGTATAATAATATTGGCTGGTTTTCATTAAATGGCTAGAAATGGAAACATTGAAGGGAGAGAAAATTAAGTGGTTTTCACTACTAGCTGAAATGAAGCTTGATATCCAAGCATTTGATAAACCTTACTCTCTGAACAGATCCAGTCATACTGGATTTAACATCTTTTTTGCTCTCTTGATTTTCCCTATTTTTCCTTTAACATTTTTATGTTTCATAGTTCTAGTTCACATCCTTATGAAAATTAAAGCATTATTTGCTGATAGTTGTTTTTATTCACTTCAAATTGTTTCTACAGTAGTACCTTTTAATATGCCTAAATAATGTTAAAAATTGAATATATATTGACTGTTTTTTTCTAGGATTGATGAATCTACTAAAAACTGAACTGTTTTTATTTTTCATGGTAGCAAACACAGCCCATAATGGAAGAGTTAATGGCCTGTGCTTTACAAGAGATGGGCTTCACCTTCTAACTACTGGAACAGATGATCGAATGAGGCTCTGGAATAGTTCCAATGGAGAAAACACACTAGTAAGATATCTGATGGAGTTTGAAATGGAGTTGAGGATGTTCGATTTTAAAATAGCTCATCAGTGTACACTTAGGTCATTTAAATTTAACCATGTAACTTGCCATTGAACCACAGCTATTGCTTTGATCTAAAATAAAGTTAAATATAAACATTTCGTAGTAAGTGTACCATCAGGCAACAGATAATAAATTCTCAAAACAACCAAGCAGTTATTTTTAACAAAAATTTAATACCTAGCAAATTCATATCATGCCTTATGTGTTTTTAAGGTTACAGAATGGATTTGGTAAAAAAGAAAGAAAAAGAAAGAAAGGAGGGAAGGAAGGAAGGAAGGAAGGAAGGGAGGGAAAAAAATGAATTCCAGGATGGCAACTAATTAGAAATACCTTTCTATGGCAGTGCTTTATTTTTTTCTTGGCTAAAAATCCTGCCATCCTTGTGCACATTTTAGTACCTTCCTAAATCATCTTATAAAGTTCTGTAGTTGGTGCTAACTCAGACATTTTCCAAGCCATTTTATAGGAGTTAATGTTAATCTTATTATCTCTTTGTTTTAGCATCTGTACTGTCTAACTACTCCCTTCCAGATGCTTCTAATGTCATTGTAATAATCATTATTAGTATTGATTTTACTAAAGAAAGGCCAACATCATTTATGTCTAAATTATGTTAGAGCACATTATTCCCTTTATATTCTCTCAGGAGACTCTGACTCAGTTAAACCACAGATTAGAAACTTAGAAACTGAATTCTAATTCTGTCTCTATTACTTTGTACTATGACCCTGAGCAGGACTTGATTTGCTGTTCTTATCTAGAAAGGCAGCATAGACAAATGACATGTTTATCAAAGCATTTAAAATAATAATCACAATGCATAAATTTATATAACATATAAATAAATGATTTTGAGATTATAGTACATATGGTTGCCTAAAGTCTTTGTACTAGTGATGTCTAGTCATCTCTTCAGAGTACTGATACTACACAGAGTGATACCAACACAATTCTTTCATTCTATCTTTTTTTTTTTTATAGCTTCACGTAGGTAAACATTGACTTAAAATTCAGTTGTCCAATCTTGATGACCTATCTTGGGTATTCTATGATCCTATTCATTTCTTGTTTATTTAGATACGGTTATCATTCTGTACTGTTTTTATCAGATCATATCTGTCATAGCCATATCATGTTCAGATATGGATATGATATTCTAAGGGGGATGTTAGCTAACTAAAGAAATTTTCACGGACAAGAATTCTGAGGCGTCTGAAAACTCTCCTACAAAGAAATGCTTAAGGGCGTTAGTGTGTAAAGAAAAAGCCAAGGGGAAACCCGAGAGCTCTTTTCTACTATTTGAAGGACTTTTGTGTAGAAGAGGGAATCTAGAGAGAATCTGGGTCTAGTGAATAGACATTTATGAGACAAATTCAAGTTTAACATTAAAAAACAAAACAAAACTTTTGAACACCTAGACCAGTGATAAAGTGAACTCCCTTTTATCAGTGAACATCTCTAATTGTGATTAGGTGGAGGCTTAACAACCTTAGTGATGGGACAGAACTAGAGTGAAGGCAACACTTAAGAAGTGATACTTGAATAGGAAGTAGTAGTACTAGATAATGTTTAAGGTACCTTCCGTCACCCAGGTTCCATCATCCTATGGCAACCACTCAAAAACCTATTTACTTATTCCTATAACCTGAGAGACAGAATGGATAGTATTGGCCTTGACGCCAGGAAGACTTGGTTTGAAGTCCAGTTTCTAACACATAATGGCTCTGTGTCCCCTGGTCAAATTGTTTAGCTCTTAACCTCTCAGAGTCCCTAGGCAACTCTCTGAGAAGAGAAATTGAAGAGAAGTTTCTAGTCTGCAGTGGAAGAGGGAATTTCTTCACCTGGGAGTTTCCTGTACCAATGAAATTATAGTCCATTCCCTATTCCTATAAGCTAAGTTGTTGTTGAGTACATTTCAGGTGTGTCTGACTCTTTGTGACCCCGTGTGAGGTTTTCTTGGCAAAGATACTGGAGTGGTTTGCCATTTTCTTCCCCAGTTTATTTTACAGATGAGACACTAAAGCAAACAGGCTTGAGTGACCTACCCTGGGTCACACAGCTAGTACATAATCCTTTATCCTGAATCCCATATCTCTTCTTCATATTAAGCAGAGATTTTATGGACTTTAGACAGTCATTATTTATTGTCAGTCTACATTCCCATTTGTGTTCTCAAACTTTCATTCATCTACATGTCAGACAAATAACATCGGGGAGGATCCAGGTTGGCAAAAATGTCTTTAATTGTGGCAATCTGGATTCTGATCACTAGTAACTGTTGAAAGCTCAGTTTCAATAAAATTTTGCACATAAATAAAGAAACAGGCCTCAAGTGAAGACTTACCCACTTTCCCTTCCCCTCCTAAAAATGTTAGGCCATGAAAGAGAGGAAAACTGAGAAATAAAAGAGAAGTGTCTTGAGGCTCATACTATACAATCATGCACTGAAGGAAAGCAATGTTACTTCTCCTCCCATCCCTTTTCTACACATGTAAGCTGTACTTGATATTGGCAAGTAGATGGAGCAAAAAGTATATGATGAGCAATAGAACAAGATTCAATAGACTTCCTCTCCAAACCCTCTTAATTTCAAATATGTATGTGCTACCATCGCCATTTTTGGAGAATAATGATCCCATTTGAGTACAGGTCTAAGGTTAGTGCATTGATTCTGAATCTCTCTGTTTGCTGTAAGAAAATTTATGGAGATTTTGTTTTTAAAGGCATTAGCTCAGACTTCCAATACTAGGTAACTTTTAAAAGATGCAGGTCATGCAAAAATTACCTCTCCCCACCCTTCCAAAAACAAAAATAAAATACTATTAAGTTTTAAAAAGAACATTTATTAATTAAACATTTGATATTATAGCTGTTGAAGTATAAAAGGAAGTAATTCTCATTAACTTTTAGGTCAGATCAATGACAGGATTGTACTGTATATGCATATGTTTAGCCCATTGAGAAATGTTATATTATCAATGTGTATAATTTATGAGTGTTTTGTAAAATTTGTAATTTAATTTTGCCTTTTCAAATTATTATAGCAACTCATAGATATATTATTATATTTATGATACATTATTAATCAGATCGTTTATTTATTTAGCGCAGAGTCCTTGTCAGGAATGTTTTCCCAATCACATTGTTACTGTGGGTAATTCACAATCTATTTTATGACATGGTTTACAGGAACATATTGTGACATAAGAGGGAACTGTCTGTATTTGTAACTATGTTATCTTAATATTGACTAAGTCCTTCAAAGATGAACTCATCAATTTCTTTTTTTTTTAAATACTGATTCTTTAATCACTTAAGCATCTAGGACAAAATCAAAGTTATACTGTTATTTCATACATCTTCCTGTGTACCTCTGAATTTCCCATTACCCTTTCCATCTTTCCTCTCTTCCTTTTCTCCAGTTTGCTCTTTTCCTCTCCATTTTAAAAATGTATTCCCCTTGGTTGTTTTTTTTAAAACATCATAGTCATTCGCCGTTATAGTTCCCCACCACATCAAACTCTCCCTTATGACAAAGACAAACATTTCAGCAAAACAGACCAAAGAGATCAATTACATCTGATAGCATGTGACAATCAGTCAGTAAACATTTATTGAGTACCTACTATGTGCTAGACACTGTACTAAGCTCTAGGGATACAAAAAAAAGGGCAAAAGACAGTCCCTGCCCTCAAGGAGCTCATAATCTAATTAAGGAGAAAACAAGCAAACAAATATGTACCAACAATCTACATAAAAGATGAATAAGAAATAATTAACAGAAGGATGGCACTAGAATTAAGAAAAATTAGGAAAGACTTCCTGGAGAAGATGGGATTTTAGTTGGGACTTAAAGGAAGCCAGGAAGCAGAGATGAAGAGAGAGAACATTTCAGGCACAAGGGATAGCCAGAGAAAATGCCAGGAGCCAAGAAAGCCAGTGTCACCAGATCACAGAGTGTGTGGTGGAAGAAGGTGTAAGAAGATTGGAAAGGTAGAAAGCTAGGTTATGAAAGACTTTGAATGCCAAACAGAGCATTTTGTATTTGACCCTAGGGGCCATAGAGAGCCATTGGAGTTGATTAAGTAGAAGGAATGACATGGTTGGGCCTGTGTTTTAGGAAAATCATTTTGGTGGTTGATTGGAGGATGGATCAGAAGCACAGTAGACTTGAGGTATGCAAATGCACCAGCAGGCCATTGGAATAGTCCAAGCATGAGGTGATGGTGGCAATGGGAGAAAAGGGGGCATGTTAGAGAGATGTCGCCAAGGTGAAACTGATAGGCATTGGCAAAAGCTTGGATATGAGGAATGAGAGAGAGTGAGGAATCTAGAAAAGACTTCTAGCTGTGAACCTTGGGGACCGGGGAGGATGATGTTGCCCTCTACAGTGTTAGGGAAGTTAGGAGGAGGAAGGGTTCAGGGGGAAAGATAATGAGTTCTGTATTTGATGTGTGATATGAGATGAAGAAGAGGGAGCTTGAGGTAAATGGCATCAATTTTTTCTGTATATATGAGTCAGTATTCTCAGCTCAGAAGGTGGGGGAAGGGGAACCACGGGATGTTTGAGGAGGGATGAAAAGATTCAGAAGACCTATTGTGGAGAGTGGGATAGTGAATTGATAAGGAAGTTGCAAAAGGATTGTGTAGGAGCAGTGAGGGCCCAGTTGAGGTTGTGTAACAATTTTTAGTGGACCCAGTCAGAATGAGCAAGTGACTTCCTCCACCATCATTTAGTTACATGTGTGTAGGAGCAAAGGTGGTGGATGGTAGGGATGATCCAAAGCTGAGGCTTGGCAGGGCACAATCAATAAAATGATAAGGGAGCTAGGGACTCAAGAGGACAGTATACAGTTAAATTGGTTCATAAAAAGGTCAAGATAGGGAGGAGAGTGCAGGGGAGTTGGCCTTGGAAAGAACTGAAGGGTCAAAGGATTGAAGTCGTGGTGTGGATAGAGTCACATAGGGGATGGGAGATGTGGAAAGCCAATAAACTATGGTTGGATAAGGAGATTTTAGAATTCTTGAACATGGAGGTGGTGCATTTGTGGGTGATGTGGCAACATCAGAGGTATGCCACATTCTGCCCTTGTCATCCTCCACCTGACTACTAAGACTCCTTTGTCATAAAATTTTAAGTCTTTATTTTTTTTCTAAGTAGTACCTTGACACACAGATCTTTATAATCAGTAAGCCCAAGATAATGACATCTAAAAGAAACAGAGAAAGTAACATTATTTTGGTTGTAAAACCACAGTGCTATATGTGAATTTTTATATATCTCTATTTTAAAAGCTCCATTATCTTAACTGTAGCCACATAGCAGCCCAGAATAGCATAAATGTGCTCTAAGTGTTCTTTTACATTCGCATTGTTTTTAAAGATCATTCTCCTGAAAGTTAGCATAGTGTACCTTGGGATTGAAATATTTTATCATTTTCATTCTTAAACATTTCTAGAACTTTAAGTCATGAAAATCTCTTAAAATACCTGCCTTACAGAAGGGCATTGTGTGAAACACTAGTGATGTAGAGACAAAAATGAAGCCATTCCTGTCCTCAAGGAGCCTACATGCAACTGGGTGAATTTTAGTATGAAGTAGAACTTCAGAGCTCCTTTTGTCCAACCCCTTCATTTAACAATGAAGAAACTGAAGCAAAGAGAAGATAAGTGACTTGTCCAGGGTCATGCAGCATAATGACAGAGACAAGACTACAGTCTCTGCCAACTGAGGCTTGTCCATTTTTAATTAATAAAGTGAACTTGAGAAAGAGAATAATCTCAACAGAATATTCTGAAGCATGTCACTGGATTTAGAGCAGCCTCACTGAATTTTCTATGTTTCTGGGGTCTTATCTGGCTAATCATTAGGTCGACATTACTGGTCTTTTACACACACACACACACACACACACACACACACAACACCACACCACAACCATGTTTCTCATTCAGATACTGTACAAACTGATTCCGGGTAAAAAAGAGCATGACTTAGGACTTGGTATATAGACATCAACATAGATCTATCTAGATCATTAGATATTTAGGTCCATAGCTTTGCTTTGGGTCTTGCTATTTCTCATAGATGTTCTCCTTGTGAACAGCTACCTGGCTATACTTTTGACACTGATTTTCAATACCTTCTGCCACTCCCTAGCTTCCTGCCTCCCCCCATTCCCCTGCAACCATACCCTGGAGACTCGTGTATCTTGGACAGGTGTTGCAGATGCATGATGAACTCATCCCAAAATTTGAGAAAAGGAAGAAATCAACTGGATTACATTTTAGAAAGAGTACAGTACCCAAATCACTCACCACTACCAAAGCCTGTTCCTTTAACACCACAATTCTTGTGACCATAAATCATGGACCACTGGTTTTAGCAGAATTTTAATGGCAAATTTTATCACTCAAAGGGTAATGGAGAGAGGTATAGTGAACATAAGCATCTTGTAGAATGTTAACATCTCTCTACTTTGGACTTGCAAGTTTGAATTGACATAAATGATATCCATAATATTTATGACTAGGAAAAGGTTAGATTGTCAGATAGCAAGAATGGGTAAAAACAGATTGATATCTGAAATGGAGTATTCATATTTCCAAGATACCAAAATAATAGGATGAGAATGTCTAGCACTTTGGGATGAGGTTCTATGGAGTATTTATGGGAAAAACATTAACTTAAATGGAATAAGAAGGCAGAGGAGATGTCATTTGTATTGGCAGAGACAAAACCAGACCAAAGAAATCATAGATTTGATTCAGGGGGCCCAAATGAAGATGGGAAGTTGACTACCAACATGTAGTTCTTTGGGGATTTGGAAGAGAGCTGGCATCATGCATATGCTGATAACTCTCTAGAAAGTGTTAGAAATTGGGCAGTGTTCTAAGTGACACTTCCAGGCATTTTTCTGAAAGTGATCAGCCCATAATCTGAGTGACCAGAGGGGCAGCAGGGCAGAGTGTCTGCCATGTAGCCTAGAACCTGCCAGGGCAGAAAAGGCCTCCTTTCTGTCCCTTTGTGGAGAGTGCGCCTGCAGAACTCAAAGGGAAGAATCAGGCCAAATACTCCTATGGATTTACCTCAGGCCACAAGTTCCGAAGAATGTTTTGTCACATTTTATTCTATGTGGTGGGTAAGGAACAAGTATACTAATGGTATCCCTCCAAATTTTCAAAATATTCCTTTGTGCCTTAGCGTTTATATTACTCCCTCACTTCTCCCTACCCACTGGCCAGCTAAACATGGATCGTTATAACCATGGGAAAAGTAAATATGAATAATATAAATCCAAAGATTATCCCCTAATTTATATCCATGGGGTTCAACCTTTGTCCCAGCAAACCTCATGAAGATTGTAATCATTTTAACTGTCTAGTAAAGGTGTTAACATATCACAAGGCCAACGAGAAGAGAACTAAGTAGCCTGAATATTTCTTGAATAATTGAAAATTGGTTTCATTTCTATATCCTAATATTTAATGTCAATTTGTCTTAATGACATTGGTTTTCTTAGTAAGATTATAAAATGGTATTGATTATTCTCTAAAACAAGCAAGGGTCACCTGAGGGAAACTGAATTTGAATTGATAAAACTGACCATTATGGGAAAGGATGTTTTAAGTGGAAGAATATTTTTTTTGAGGAATAGCTATGAAAACTATTAACTGTTCACATTTTAAAATACATCAAATTATTTAGAAGCAGGTAATGACTAATTTTCTGTGGTCTTGACTTTTGCAGGTAAACTATGGTAAAGTCTGTAATGAAAGTAGAAAAGGATTGAAATTTACCATCTCTCATGGCTGCAGTCCAGAATTTGTCTTTGTACCATATGGTAGCACCATTGCTGTTTATACAGTTTACTCAGGAGAACTGATAACTATGCTTAGGGGACATTATAATACTGTTGACTGCTGTGTATTTCAACCTAATTTCCAGGTAAGTGAAGTACTCAAGGGAATTTAAAATGCTCAGGCAGCTTGCCAGACCAGTTGTGCATAAAATAGTGGATTGTGATTTGCTCCTCTAGAATTCCAATTGGAAACTAGACTTAAGTTAGAGACATAGATATATCTAAGATAATAGTGTGTGACTTAATTGGAAAAAATTAACTTTGCTCTGCATATGGACTCCATTTATTTGGCAATTAATAATCTTACTGTTATTGGGTTTTACAGAAGGTATTTTCCTGTAAGTAGTGTTTGGGGGAAGGAATGAGATAATTATGAATGAAAATAAAAATAAAAATATTTCTTTAGGGTTATTTCATTGTTTTTTTTTTCAGAACCAGTGACTCAATGCAGTGTTTTTTCTATATGGGCTTTTTTCCTTTCTCACATTTTATTCTCACTCAAGGGATTAACTATGTCCCCAAACTCTCTCTTCCATCAGAGCTATGAAGTATGGTTGCAGTATCTCGTGATATGCCATGTGGGAGCACAACGTATCACTTGCAATTTTACTAACTTTCTCTACATACAGTTTTTGTGGTATAGTAGTATTTATATACTTCCTGCTGACAGTTTAGATTATTTTTGTGTTTAAGTCATATCTATCTATCCTGATCTCCTAACTTCTTGAATTTTAAATACTACCTTCTCCACATTGTCCCACCTTCGGGGCAGATTGTGACTAATATATCTTCCCTTCCTAGCTTTATTCCTTAGCAAAATGTCTCTTCCCCACAGATTCCTTTGTAATTTCTGAAGAGGAATATAGTTATAAATATGTAAAGGGAAAATATACTAATGCAGACATTTCTTTTTGAGATTTTTTTTGGAGAATTCTTGGAGGTTCCCCCCCTTAAATCAAGCATTTTAAGGGAGTGATTTTTGTTTTCCATGCCCTGTAAAAAAGACCTCTCAACATTCCAGTCCACTGAGTGTGGCTTTTACTTCTTGTTATATGTCTTATATTTAGTGAGTGCTCTTATTTTGTAAGGTCTTGAGAGCAGAAATAAGGGTTTTTATAGATTACATGTATACATCTTCAACAACTATAAATTGATGAAGATACTAACTGGTTTTACTCTGAAATTTGTCTGCCATTCAAGTAAGCGTGTCCCAGTGACTTTATTACTAATATGTATTATAATCTTATCTACTTTGTTTGCATTGATGTGTTTGGTTTCTTCCTTTTGTTTTAATGACCCTTATACTACCAGCCTGATGAAGCCATGTCAAACCTGGGTTTCCAGGTCCCCAAATGAAAGACAGCATGGATAAGTGCAGTATTTAACTATTTAAACTAATATTTCTAATTTTAATAGTTAGACACAAAGGAAGGCATTCACTTAGAAGCAGCTTGATGGCATAGAGGGTAGAGTACTGGGCCTGGAGTCCAGAAGACCTGAGTTCAATGGTCTCAGTGCCTGGGCAAGTCACTTAACCTCTGTTTACCTCAGTTCTCTCCACTGTAAACTGGTGTTAATAATTGTACCTAACTGCCAGATTTGTGAGAATCAAATAAGATGATATGTGTAAAAGACATAGCACAGGGCCTGGTAGGTGCTTAATAAATGTTTATTTCCTTCCTCTTTTCCTCTCTTTTTACCTCCCTTCTTTTCTTCCTTCCTCTCTTCTTACTTCCCTTTTCTCCTCTCCTCGTCCCTTCTCTTCTTCCCTTTCACTCTTCTCTCCTTCCCTCCTTCCTTCCCTTCTTTCCTTCCTCTTTTCTTCTTCCCTCCCTCCCTCCCTTCCTTCATCTCTTCTTTTCCCATCTCTACTCACACAGTTACCACCCTGCTCAGGCTCTTGTCCCCTCTCCTGGTCTATTATAGTTGCCTCTTCTTTGTTGCCAATTATAGCCCCACATTCCCCTCCCCTCCCCTCCCCTCCAATCCATCTTCCATACAAGTGCCAAACTGGTGTTCCTAAAGCAACAAGTTTGCTCTTGTTATTTCTCTGCTCAGTGATCCTTGGGGCTCCCTTCTGCCTCTGATAAAATGTAGTGATAAAATGATAAAATGTTAAAATGTCCAATGTGTAATACCTTTCATGGTCTGCTCCAACCTATCTTTCCAGACTGATATATGCACTCTACCCTCTAGCTAACCTAACCTACTCCTAATAACCTGTGCATGCTAAATTGTGGACCTTAACTCTGTAACCTGACTTCATTCCTTTGCATAAACTGTCTCCATTCTTACCTCTGCCTCTTGAAATCCCTAATTATCTTCAAATCTTGGTTCAAGGGCCATATTCTACACAAATCCTTTCTTTATTACCCTAGTTTTTAGCATTCTATTCCCATGCCCCAGAAATTACTTTTTGTTTACATTTTAAAGAGGCAGCTTGGCATAGTGGAAAAATATCTGGCCCTTGGATCAGAAAGAGCTGGATTTGATTCTTACCCCTGATCAACTTTGTCTTTGTGACCCTTAGCAACCCCCTTGACCTCTCCATTCTCCCAGTAGATGCTCTAAGATTCTGAAGTTTCAAAGCAGGTGCTAATCTGCATTAATAGAAGTTGTTTCCTCATTGGGACTTTAATACCAAGAAACCACAGGCCTGGTATAAGTGTGTATGTTTATCTGTTTTGTATTTGCTTATCTGTGTGTGTGTTATTTCTTCCCATTAGAACATGAAGTCTTTGAGTACAGGGACTGTTTCATTTTTCTCTTTGTATACCCACTGCCTAGAACTATGTCTGGCATATAGTAGGTGCTTAATAAACTTTTACTTTTTAGAATTAAATTGAAATCTACACTTTAAAATTTCTGTACTGTCCCTTGTAAAACAATATTCTCTTAAAAATTAGCATTAAACTTTAAGGCAGACACAAGGGACACATGCCACGCACAAGTACTAAATGCTGCTTACAAAGGGAGTACCCCAGCTTTGTTTCTCTACTGCATATCTTTTCCCTTTTTTTTTTTCCTAGTGTGCAGCAAGGTCTATTTAAATGGAAAAACAGTCTTCTGTTCTTCTAGCTGAGTACATGCTACTTCTCTCATAATACTATATGACTAGTGTACAGATATAAATTTTGTTCTTCAATCGTTTCAGACTCTTGGGGTTTTCTTGGCAGAGATACTAGAGTGGTTTACCATTTCCTTCTCCAGCTCATTTTACAGATGAGGAAACTGAGGCAGACAGGGTGAAGTGACTTGCCCAGGGTCACACACAGCTAGTAACTGGCAGATTTGAACTCAGGGAGATAAGTCTTCCTGACTCTAAGCCCGGCACTCTATCGACTGAGCTGCCTCAATGCCCTGATAGAAATACTAGTAGTCTATTTAATGTGCAGTCGTTTGATGTTTGCCTCTTGTAGTATCCAAAGGGTATCCTTTAATACCTGAGTCAAGGAAGAAGGGAAAATATGTTTCATCTGAGATTTATGCTATTGTTTCCTTTTTTTTTATAGGAAAATCTCTTTTCTGCAGAATCTGCTAATATTAACAAAAACAAATGGAGTAAAAGATAATTTGAAAAAGTGTATAATTCAATGTCAGTAACATAACTTTTTCAGGCATAGTAGGACTATTGTATTAAGAATTCTGCATTTAAAAATATCAGGAAATACTAGTCAATTTCAGATTCATTCTAAATCTTAACATTCTCCACTGTCACATCTTTGCATTCTGTATCACAGGAACTTTATAGTGGTAGCAGAGACTGTAATATTCTTGCTTGGGTGCCAGCTTTACGTGAACCCCTGCCTGATGAAGATGACGAGGCAAGTATACTGTTTACAAATTGTAAATGTTACATAGTAAAGAATTAGGTGGACAAATTTTATTATTTTGTTTTTCATAAGTCTTTTTATGCATTTTATGTATTTAATAAGGAGTCAGCCTCCAAGCCAGGAATATGTAAGTTCGAATTCCAACACTGACCCATGCAGACTTTGTGACCCCTGGGCAAGTTACTTAAACTTTCAGTGCCCTACGCAGTTCTGTAATTATAGAAGTTGCAGAAACGCATTAAAGTATGTTGGTAGAGGGAGTTTCCTCACCTGGGAGTTCCCTATGCCAATGAAATCACAGGCCTAATCCCTTTCCCTACATAATTCAATATTACTTACCTGATAAGTACTGAAGTAACTCTAGTAACTGTCCATTTATAGTATTCAGAGTAATAGGATATATTAGAAGAGGCTAAATGAAAAGTCATGGAATGTATTAATCACTAGAAAAAGAGTACTTCACTTGGGCAAATCAGGCTTAAGTTGGTAGTCATTACCTATTTCAATTCAGCCTAAAATTTTTGTATAGTTCTGTCAGGTACTGTGTTTGCCTTTTGCTTCCTGTTCCTGTAATGCCCCTCTCCCAATCAGCTCCTCCTTTTAGATTTCTTGATGGGACCTGGAGTACAGATGAAAATGTTTAGGATTTGGGGTCAGAGCCAGGGTACAAATCCTACCTTTGTCTCTTACTACCTGTGTGACCTTGGGCAAGTTATATAACCTCTTCATCTGTAATATGAGAGAATTGAGTTAGGTGGCCTCCAAGCTCCCTTACATCTTGAAAGCTTTGATTCTATGATCCTTACTTTCTTCAAGGCTCAGACCAGATGTCACCTCCTGCTCAAAACCTACCCGGAACTCCCTTTCTCCAGTTGTAATTTCGGTCTCTCTCCACAAATTATCTCATTTCTTTCTAGATGGTATAAAGTGTACAGAGAATATAAGATTCCACCATGTGTTTATTCTTTGTTGATGTAAAAAAGAGCATTTGAATTAGTAGGACAAACTTTTACCTTAAAGGTGCTCTTGCATTAAGGTACTTCCCCGTCATCTATTAAATTATGTAACATTCCTCGAAGCATGTAATAGAAAGATTTTAGCTCTACCATTTATTTAATATCAAGAAAATCATAAAATAGGGCAAAAAATATTTTCAAAGGGTTCAGAGAAAAGATAAGTAGAATCCCATGCACTAAAATGCTTTAGGAGAAGGCAGCCCAGGAGGGATGGGAGATGCGCAAGAATGAAATTCTGAATAAATAAGGAAAAAAATTCTGAATAAATAGGGTAGGCAATTTTAATGAGGAAAAGTGGGATTTATTTAAAGAGACTAATAAAGCTAAAGACAACAAAAAGGGGTTTTTAAACCTTTATTCGGGTGGGGGAAAGGATGAGTATGACCCTAGGTTGGGGCATATTAGACCAAGGTAAATGACAACAGAAAGACAGTAGAGCTGTTTAATTCTCATTTTGTTTCTATTTTCTCTGCAAATGAGAAGGACCTTTGTCCTTGACAAAACACAGATGACTAACAGGGGCTTTTATGTCCATGATAATTGAGGAGATAGTAAGAGAGCACCTGGCTGCCTTTGATGAATTCAGGTCACCTGGCTCCATCGAACTGCATCCTTGGGGTCTTAAAGAACTGGCAGCTGGGATTGCTAGGCTGTAGTAAGTAGTATTTGAAAGACTATAGAAAATGAGAGGTACCACAAGATTGAAGAAGGACCATGATTCAGATGAGAGAGAGAGAGAGAGAGAGAGAGAGACTGAAAGCTTGCAAAATAGAGGCCAGTGAAATTGACTTAGCTTCCTGGGAAAATTTCAAACACATCATTACTGGTACCTGGCAAACATTTGGAAAGGAAAGCAATGATTACAAAGAACTCTCATGGCTTCATCACAAAGAAGACATGCCAAACTAACCACGTTTCCTTTTTTGACAGAATTTCTGAACTAGTATATGAGGAGAACACTGTCAACATAATTTGCCTAGATTTTAGCGACACTTTTGATAAAGAATCTCATGCTATTCTTGTGAAGATGATAGGGAGGTGGATTAGCAATAATGCAGTCAGATGCTTTCACATCAGGTAGGATGACCAGACATAGAGGATCATTATTAATGGCTTAATGACATTGTGAGAGGAGCTCTCCAGTGGAAAGCCCCAGGGATCTGTGCTTGGATCATTCCTGTTTAATGTTTCTATTGAGTGATTTGAATAAAGACATAAATGGTGTGCTCATCAAATTTGTAGATACACAGAATGGACAAAATGAGCAGCAGCATGGATGAAGGAAAGTTCTTTGCACATTGGGGGGAAATGAGTAGTCCAGCTTGGCAAAGACTTAGAGTACAGTGAGAAGTGAGTCCAGAAAGATAGGTGAGGGCCCATTAACTTAAATACTATGGAGTTTAGATTTTTTTTTCAAAAATAATGGGGAACAATGGAAGGTTTGTTAATAGATGACTACAGTGATAGCTGTGCTTTAGGAATATTATTTTGGTAGTTGTTTTATATGGATTAGAAGAAGGAAAAACAGGAGGGCAAACTAGTTAACAAGCTATTTATTACAACAATCAAGTGATAGTAGTTTACAGTATAGTAGTTTCAGTAGGACTGGAAAGGAGAAGACAGATCTAAGAGATATCCAAATAGATTAATCAAGGCTTGACAACAAATTAAACATTGGAAGCAGGAGAGGGAGAAGTCAAAGATGACCCCCAGGTTGTGTTTTTAGTTTTCAGGATCATGAGAACAGAAACTTCTTTTTTTGTAGATTACACATACAGATTTTCAGAAAATACAAATTAGTGTACTTAATACCTGTGGCTTTACTCTGATATTATCTAGGTCAAGCGTAGATGACTAAAATAATGGTTATCATATTATACAGATAAGACAGGAAAAAGCAGGTTTTTCAAAGTTGATATGTTTGTTTTAGGATTTATTGCATTTGAAATGGCAATAGGATGTCTCCAGAAGGTGGTATTTTCACCACCAGTTGGAATTGAGGATCTAGTGTTCCAAAATGATAAAACCAGACTTGCGAGGCAGGCATTCGCATTGAGTCATCAAGTGATAGCTAATGATGTAGTGAATGGACTTGCCCAGAGACAGATTTGGAGAACCATTACTGTGCAAGTAGGGGAAAGGGTAATAAAGAAACTCCACAAGAGGAATGGTCAAGGAGGTAGGCATGTGGTCAGGAAAGGGCCAAGGGAGAGAAGAGTTTCAGGAAGGAAGGAGTGATCAGCAAATGTAACATTAATACAAATACAAAGATGCAGGAAAGATGAGGATTGGTGGAGGTGGGAGTGGGGTGGGGAGGGAGAGAAGGGGTAGAATTAGTGATTATGGGTTCATTGATCCTCCTCAGGATAACAGTTTAATTAGAATGAGAAGTAGACCGTAAGGAGTTGAAAATTGAGCAGTTGGTTAGGAAGAGGAGAAAACCACTGTAGAATAGTATTAATGGGAGATTTTTTGGTGATGATGATGTTGATTTTTTTTTTTAGGAAAGGAGAATTATGGGTTATTGTAGATTATGAAAATCCTAGGCAAAAGAGCAGGAGCCAGGGTTAGATTGAAGATGCAAAAGAGAGATGGAGTAAAAATGATGATGGTGATGATAATGATGTGCTTTAAAGTTTATTTTTTCAAACTTTCAAAAATTCTGTTTTGGCCCTCACAACAACCTGGTGGATGGCATGCACTTAAATGCTTGTTCTCTTCCTTCTCCCTTCTTTGAACAAGACACTCCGTCTTCCAACTCCAGGCATTTTTATTGGTTATCCCCTTGCCTGGAATTCTCTCCCTCTTCGTCTCCTCCTCCTGACTGCCTGGGCTTCCTTCAAATCTCAGCTAAAATCCCACCTACTATAAGAAGTCTTTCCTGATTCCCGTTAATGCTAGTGCCTTCCCTCTGTTCATCAACCACGGTTTATCCTATTTATAGCTTGTTTGTAAATTTCTAAATTTGTTTGTAAATTTTTTCTTCTCACCCCCCATTAGAACTTTTTTTTTTTACCTCCCTTAGTATTCCCAGCACTTAACACAATGCTTGGCACATAGCAGGTACTTATTAAATGCTTGCTAGGTAAATGACAGATATATAAGCAATCTAGCCATGTAACAGCTTTCTGTGACATTGTAATAATAGCTTTATGTTCTTTAGAACCACAGTACTAATTAAGTAATTTATTTTTCAGGAGTCGCTTAAAATTTCTTCATCTCAAAATTTCTCTATATCTTTACTCATTCTCTTCCCTTTAAAGAGAAAAAAATGTGGCCCCTTCTCCTTTCAAAGCTTGATTAGTCCACTAGATCTTGCCTGGGCTAGTACATAGAGTACTAGACTTGGAGTCAGGAAGACTGATTTGATCTGCCTCTAATATTTACTAGCTATGTGACCATGGGCAAATTCCTTACTACCTCTCAGTCTCAGATTCATCACTTCTAAAATGATGACAATAATATCTGTACAATATATACTTTTGGCATTCAAATAATGTGGCCAACTCATCAGAGTTGTGCTCTTGGTAGTAGAGCTTGAATGCTTGGCAGTTTAGCTTGAGAAAGGACCTCAGTGTCTGGCACCTTATCTTACTAGGTGATCTTCAGAATCTTCCTAAGACAATTCAAATGGAAGCAATTTAATTTCCTGGCATGGTGCTGGTATACTGTCCAGGTTTCACAGGCATACAAAAATAAGGTCAGCACAACAGCTCTGTAGACCTTCATTTGGTAGGCAGCCTAATACCTCTTATCTCCCACACTTTGCTTCAGAGCTTTCCAAACACTGATCTAGCTCTTGCAATGCATGTATCAACATCATTATCAATATGTACCTCCCTGGAAAATATACTGTGAAGATAAGTGAGCTTATCTACAGCATTCAAAATTTCTCCATTTGCTATGACCAATGGTTCCATGTGTGGATGGTGTGGTGCTTGCTGGTGGAGAATCTCTGTTTTCTTGGTGTTAATT